TCTAATACGGAATCATTCCAAGCCCCGCCCCCCTGCAGAGTCCTCTTGGAGGGTTGAGAAAGCACCCCTAAAAACATAATTTATATTTTTAAGAGAATAGCTATGATTGCTGTGAGGAAAATGGAATATAGGGACCCAACGTGGAAATAGGGTGGCCACCAGCTAGGAGGCTGTTGAAATAATCCAGTAGGAGAAGAGAATGGCTGGAGTTAGTGGGACAGCTGAGGAGGAGTTAACTTTTGGAACTGGGGTATTTAAAAAAATTATTTATTTATTCCAGAGAGAGAGTGAGAGCTATCATGAGCTGGGGATGAGGGGGTGAGGAGCAGAGGGAGAGGAACAAGCAGATTCCCCGCTAAGCACGGAGCCCCCAGGCAGGGCTCCATCCCAAGACCCTGAGATCATGACCTGAGCTGGATGCCTAACCCACTGAGCCACCCAGGCGTCCCTGGAACTGGGGTATTTTAAAGGTAGAGCTGACCCCTTGGCCAATTCATTGAATGGGAGAAGAAAGAGAAGTCAGTGATGACACCAAGGATTTTGGCCTGAGCCAGTGGTGGTGCCATTTCTTGAAATGGGAAAGACTGGGGGAGAAACAGGTTTTGGGGTTTGGGGAAATTACAGATTCTCTTTGGCCATATTAAGATTGAGATGCCAGTTAGGCATCCAGGTAGAGATGCTGTGTAACTAGTTGGGTCTGCAGGGCAACTCTGGAGTGTTGGAAAGAGGCTGGGGGCTAAGATACACATTGGGAGTCATCCACATACAGATGATATGGGCATACAGCATGATAGAGCGAGATAATAGAACAAGATGATAGAGCCATGGGCTTGGCTATATTTCACAGAGAGTGATTATTGATAGACAACAGGTTGGAGCACTAAGGTGATCCAGTATTTACAAGTTAAGAGTGGTGTCCAAGGAGCAGGAAGTGAGGAGGAAATCCAGATGAGAACTTCTATGAGGTCAAAAGATTATTTTTTTTTAAGATAGGAAATAATACAGTATGTTTGTATTCTGATAGGAATAATTGAATAGAAAAGGAGAGCTTAATAGTGCCGGCAAGGAGGGATTATTTCAGGGCAAAATCATTTAGTAGCTGAAAAGGCATGAACACGGATGTTTATTGTATAAATGTTTTCTACCATAAGCTCACATTGGGGGCCCTTCTTCCTCTCTGTTTATATTCCATGCTCAGTGCTTCCACAGAATCAGTTTGGGTGCTTTTGACTGCAAGTCAAAAAAGTCAAGAAAACCTGAGCCAAAACTTACTTAGACAATTAAGTGGCTTATATCCTGTGAAAAGTCCTTGGGTAGGGAGAACTTCAGGCAAGGTTTGATCCAGTAGCTCAGCGATTTAGTTTCTTTTCCTCACCCTGCACTGCTCTGCAGTGTGTTATCTCCAGTTGAGGCTGGCTCCCTTTGTGGTCTCAAGATAACTGCTAGCAGCTCCCGGGGCCAAGTTTTCTTCATTATATTCCTCAAGAAATAACGTCTCCACATCCCCAGGAAAAGTCCTGAGAGTCACCTTTCCTAGACGAGGTTAGGTCCTGTGCCTAAACCAATGTCTACAGGGACAAGGAAGGAATGTACTGAATGGCAAAGCCAGAATCACCTAGATCCCCGGGGGGAAAAGCAGAGGCTATGGGAAGGGAAACAGGTGTCACTATAAGCCTCTGAATGAAAGTCCCATGGCAACAGTAACGAAGGTCAGGCAACTGTTGGAGAAGAAATAACACCTGCCAAATACACATGTCCTAGAACGGGTAAGAATTGCATTTGGGAATGAGTTTATTTCCTACTTCACTGTCAGGGATAATTGTTCCATTGTATATTTAAGAGACAGGTGCTTTAATTATAAGCCATCAGCTGTAACTAGGGTAAATAAAATGTCTTTGGATTTCACAAGTGTTAATTTCTTATATGTAAGTCAAACTTCATCAATATTTTAAGATCGTAAAGATCTGTTTTCAAGGCCTGAAAGTTTGTTTACTAACAATTAGCTTTATGATAGGTCAAGGGCCAGGAGAAGTAATGAAGTATAATTTGGCCCGCTGGAGGGCAGCAGTTTCTGGATACCAGCCAACAATTAGTAGGAGGCTTTTCTGCTCCCAGTGCTACCGACAGTGTTGATTCTAGCAGCAGCTGGTCCATCTCAGCGATAAGAACACGAGGAGGAACCTAAGGGTGGTTAAAGTGCAGTCGTGAAGCCTCCCGATCGTTGCAGTGTGGCCTCATTCGGATCTGGAATGAATTCCTTCCCCATGAACAGCCAGACGCTTCGTTACTACCCAGACCAGCTTTCGCTCCGCCAGTGCTTTCTTCAGTGCGTCCATTCAAATTCCTTTAGATATGAGGCCCCGGAATCACATAATGCCGTAATTAGTCCTGGCAGGGAAAGAACAGCCTGATGGAAACAGGCACTCAGATGCCCTCTCTGGGACTTGGTCTCCCCCAACCCCCCGCCGTTCCCCCATGTGGGGCACTAAGCCCTTTGTCCCGGGGAGCAGGAATTCAAGGTAATTCAAGGTAATGGCGAAAGCACACTTAGGGCAGGGCACGCCCCCATGCCAAGCTCTCTTGGTTGACTCCGCGGTAAAGGCACGCCTCCTTTCTCCGGCGCAGGGAAACACTACCTCTCCAGTACTGATACCGATGGTTTGTGGCAAGCAAACCAACAAAACGAATCCAATACACCGTCGGTCTGTTTTCCTTTAGTTCTTCAAAGTTTCCACCACTTTTCTCCTTTCAGGCTACCATTTTTCGGGGGACAGCGAAGGTTTGTTTTTCCCATCCTTCCAAAGAATGTGATGCTGTATCAAACATGTCATGTTTAGAGTTTTATTGATAATGCTTGGAGTTCTTTGGAGCAGAGGAACAGAGGGGCTTGAAATGGATGAACAGCGGGACAGTGAACTGCCTCTTCCCTTATTTTAATGCTTGCTCCGGGTGTCTGTGGGGGGCCCCTTCCAGGTGGGTGTGCCATCTGGGTGTGCTTCCTAGCCTGCAGGGCCCAGCCTTTCCCGGTGCGGAGCAAACATGGCTGTGGCCCTGCTGGGTGCCGGGAGCCTCACCTCCATCTCTAGTTAGAATCCTCTTTCAGTACTCTTGTGAGATCAAGACTGTTGCTGTGTTTTCTTTGTGTTTGAATGGTGGACTCCCTATTTCTATACTCTAGAGGGAGGTAATGCAGTCAGTTGGACTCAGCCATGACTAAGAGCCTACTGTCACTGCTGCCTTCAAGGGGCTGTGAACACGAGCCAGACCCAGTCCTACCCACAAAAAGCTCTCAGTTTAGCTTGCTTTTAATGAACCCTAGAGACTCCACTTCTCTCTCTGCCTGTCTTATATTCCCCTTTCATCCAATTTTCTTTCAAGACGATAGTCCAAAGAATTTTTCCTTTCTCCTCTCCAGCCTTCATCTGCAACTCAAACTAATGCCCATGGGAAGAAGTCACCCCCCTCTAAATTTGCAGTTGGCTGTCTAATTTTCTCCCTTCCTGGGACACCATGTAAACCTGCCATTGCTGTGTGACTGGTGGTGCCCCGCCCCAGTAGGCAGAGTACTGTCTGATGTAGTCAGGTACTCTGCCTGCGAGAGTGACAGGGGAGCGGAAGTTCTAAGAGGTGGCTCAAAGCTCCAAGACATGGCTTCTTTTTTTTTTAAGATTTTATTTATTTATTTGACAGAGAGAGACACAGCGACAGCAGGAACACAAGCAGGGGGAGTGGGAGAGGGGGAGGGAGAAGCAGGCTTCCTGCCCAGCAGGGAGCCCCATGCGGGGCTTCATCCCAGGACCCTGAGATCATGACCCCAGCCGAAGGCAGACGTTCAACGACTGAGCCACCCAGGTGCCCCTCCAAGACATGGCTTCTGTTACTACTAGGTTTTTGCTTTTCCCTCTGCCCTGACTCAAATAGAGTCTTCCCCTTGGGTTTGGGTCCTAGAATGAGAACATAATTAGGAAGAGCAGCAGTCAACTCACAGCCACCAAACTAATGTGAGAATTCAAGATAATGTTGTGAGCCACTGAGAATTTTTGGGTCATTTGTTCCTGCAGCAGAGCCAACTAATACAAAGACCAAATTATAAATAATAAAATGGAAGATATAATAAATACGATAGTCACAATTCCCAGTCACCTTTATTTATATAAAAGTATATTAAATAAATTATCTCAATATATACAAACAGAACAATATTACTTCTATAAATAGAATATCCCCATGTATAAAACCTTTTAGAAAATTATATAAATATATACAATATTGACCACAAAAGCTTGCAGTACCTTAAATCATCACCTCTACGTGGTCTGTATAGTAGTCTTATAAAAATATAGTCAGCTATCAAGTGCTTAATCCATAGCATTTGAGTCAGTTAAAGTGCTAAACCGTAAGGCACTTTAGGAATGTGCCCCAAAACAGAAGTCTTCTGCATTTAACACATTCATATAAAAGTTTGCCAATTGTTGTGAAACTCCAAAAGAACTCAAAAAAGAAGAACCTAAACACCATATACCACAAAAGAATGTTCTATGTCAGAAAAGTCCACCCAATTTCCATTTTACTCTCCCACATGATTTGAAGTCAGCTTCTCAAAAGTTTTCCAAAAATTGACCCAAGGATTTTTTTTAAAGGCTTTTGTTCATTTGTTTTTGATTAGACGTTCTGGTTTCATTTGGGGTGTAGAATATACATTCTAACACATGATATGTGCAAAAGGTGCCATAGTGTTAAAATAGTATTAAAATGGAAATTTTAAAAAACTTGGAATTGGTCGTACCGTTCATTACATTCCAAAGTGTCTAATGCTGTCGTGGAAACCAGAATGCTAATCGTGAGAACAGGTCAGATCAAGAGCTTTCTTTGAGCCCAAGAGTCTCCATGCTCCAAAATACTCCTTTGTGTTTCCATATATATATTCTGTGGTCTTAAAAGTCCTTGGTCACAGTGCAACATATACTCCGTCGTGGGCGGCTGCTCCCAGGGCACGAGCTTTATGCAGCATTGAGTGGGGAGCTCTCCTTCCCGCTCTGCTGCGCGCGCCCCTTCCTGCACTTGTATAGGGTCACAGACAGGATGCTGGTGAGGATGACGGCCACGAGCACCACAATTACAATGCCGAGGAGTATTTCTGAAAAACAAAAGGTACCAGTCAGCTTCAACTTCGAGCGCTTGAATCCCATTTATCAGGGGGCAGAACGGAGGCCATAACCCCAAATGACACCAAGTGACGCTCTTGCGTCATTTGAAATTTCTTTCCTCCGCTCTTTCCACCGCACCATATTTTGATTAGGAAAGAATGGGTCGAACCCTCGATGTTTTAGGGCAGTTGACGGTGGTGAACATCATTTAATGGGCTGTTTAATAAACTGGATAATGTCCACAGCCTGGAAACGGTACATGTAAGTGGGAGTAGGGGCTAAAAATAATGCCGGGCTTGGTGGCCAGGATTATAATTGTAGAAGACTAACAATCAGTGCAAAGAGTGAGACACAGAGTAATGGCAGGGCTCAGGTGAAGGACAGATGATAACTGGTTGGAGCAGCAGGAAGGCTTCCCGGTGGAGGTGGCATTTGAAATGGTTCTCAAAGGTCACATTTCAGTAGAGGGAGAAGAGGCAGGGAAGCAGCGATCTGGGCATGTATGAACAGAGAGGCAGTGGAACTCCAGCCGGCTTAAGGAAGATGGATGTGAGGACTGGGGGTCTGATGGCACAGAGGGGTGCAGGACCCGAGGAAGGGAGAGCCCTTTTCTTCCCTGCTTCCATCATGGTCAATCAATAGGAGAGAATTTACGTAAAAGTGTTTCTAAATTTTCAAATCTTGCCTTAGCAAGGAGCTATCCTGTGACTCTTTTGTTACCTAAATGTCCTCAGAGTCCTTTCCCTATAAAGCCTGGAGGGAGACTCAGGCTTTCAGCTTCATTGGATGAGTCTGAAGCCCCTGCAACACTTCCAGTTAAGAATCACTCCTCACAGGGGGTCGGGTCCCCTGGTGTGCACACACCTGCACGGGGGACTATCTGATAGACTCAGTCTCTTCCCTTCACGGGTTAGACTTTTAGTCCTCTGTGACAACGAAACAACCTATAGCAGGTGCTCACAAATGTCTAGTGGGTGCTGCTGCAGCTGGTCCAGACACTCCCCCATAATTCCCAGCAACAGAATTTAAGTATGAAAAAATCTCCAGAGAAATCTGTGATTTGATGGTAAATCCTAAACATGCACCGTGTGTCCAGTGCTCAGCGGAGAGCTTGGCACATGGTAGGGGCTCAAGAAAACACAAGCTAATACAAGGGAACAACACAGAAGCATTTCCAAATGCCTAAAATTGTTAAGAGTATCCCCCAAACAACACAACACAAACAAACAACAACAAGAAGGCTGTTTCCCCCTGAACAAAAGTCCATCCTGATTCTGAGGGTGGAGCCACTCCTCTGGAAGGTATCCGTGCCTCCCAGGTGAATGCTGGGCGGAACCACTCATCTCTGAACATACCTTTCTTGTGGTGCGTGCACTCAATGGAACTTTCTGGACTCTTCTGGTTAGACTTCCGTGATGGAATCACTGCTTGAACACTGAAACAGTAGCTTTCTCCCTCATCCACATCAATCAAAAACTCATTAGTGTTTGTCTTGGCTGTTTTCTGTTAAGAGATGAAGAGTTCTGAATTCATCTGGGCTCAGAGTGAATTCTTTCCCTGTTACTAAGTCACTGTGGAAGTAAAAGCCTGCGGGGACCTGACGTAGAAAGGATTAGAAGTGACTTAGCTGCTCCGTTCCCCTTGGTAACTGCTAAGGATGCTCCTTCCAAGACCAAAAATGACCAATTTAGGCACATCCAACCCAATTTAGCTCCTCTAGAAGATATCTGCCATCGAGGAGAAAAGGAATGAAGCATTCATCATTGAATGGAAAACTGATTTTGTCTCTGGGATCCTCCAGAGAGGAAGAAATGGGAGAACTGGTGGGAGCCTTAGAGATGACCCGGTCCAGTCCTTGGCCGAGGAGCCTGCGGATCCAGCGGCCGCGCCCGGAGTCCCAGGTAGAACCGGGACAGCAGGCCCCCTCCCCCTCCGCCACGCTGCTCTCTCAACCACCCCATTCTGGCACGTTTGAACTGAGGGAAGAAGCGCGCTGTAAAGTCAAAGAGCCACAACTTAAGCCATTAAAAACAAACGAAAGAATCCTCACCTTTCCTGTACTTGACGCTTTCCAGTAATAAAGTGTGTAACTTAAGTTCTTGCCAAAAACATCCCGGAGGCTTAGGAAGGTGCCGTTCCTCCTGACTAAGGTGCGTGCATCTTGTATGGTCACATTCAGTTTTGTCCCAACTTGTTTGAAACTCTGGATTGTTGGCAGTCCAAGCTTTGCTAAAACATAGAAAATGAGCTCCGTTGGAACCAAAGAATCCTATACCAAGTGGAATTCCATTTAGTTAAGGACAGCCCAGTCATCCCTCGTGTAAGAGCTGCACAGAATGGGCTCCCCGGCAGCCGGGGGCTAAGCAGCTCCGGAATAGAACCCTGAGACTTCCCAGGGCAGTGCCGTCTCAGGGCAAATATAATGGAGCCACAGATGTCATTTCAAATTTCCTTGTTGTCACATCAGAAAATGTAAAAAAGAACAGCTGAAATTACTTTTACTAATACATTTTGTTTAGCCCCCAATAGCTCAAATATTCTCATTTAACTTGTAATCAATATAAAAAATTTTGGAGATATTTTTCAAAAGCCAGGATGTCTTTTAGACTTACAGCATTAGCTATATTTCAAGTGCTCCATAGCCATCTGTGGCTAGTGGCTGTTATATTAAACGATACAGTTGTGTAAGACTCCGTATTTTAGAGACAATAAATTAGGGGTTGTGGGAAACACCAGGATATGTCCTTGGTACCTCAGGGAACCAGTGTTAACCACTGGGTCTGTGCAATGGCTCAGCTGTCTGCTATGCTTAGGCTGTGTGGCTGTAGAATAAATCCCTGTAATTCAACATAAATTTCACACAAGTGGGTGTGTGTGTGTGCGTGTGTGAGCACATACAAAATTAATATGTAAAATATTTTTTCTTCTTTAAAGATTTTATTTATTTATTTATTTGACAGAGAGAGAGAGAGACAGAGAGACAGAGAGACAGAGAGAGAGAGCATGTGCACAAGCAGGGAGAGTGGCAGAGGGAGAAGCAGGCTCCCTGCTAAGCAGGGAGCCCAATGTGGGGCTCGATCCCAGGACCCCAGGATCATGACCTGAGCTGAAGGCTTTTTTTTTTCTGATAGGATGTGTTTATATTTACATGGTACGTTTTAAAGCAATGGCTACATTGGTCATACATATTAGAAGCGATAAAAAAAAGTTAAGAACTAAAATGTACATCATACACTTGTATATATATTTTTTACACAGAGGTAAAAAGGCTTATTATAAAAAAATCAATACAACAGGGTTTTTAGTATACAGGTAAAGAATGAATTAATTAATGACTGAGCCACCCAGGCAGCCCTATAAAATATTTTCTATCTTACACCAAGAAAGGATTTGAAGAGGCTTACAAAAAACTCAAGAACTATAAAAGGAAATCATGAGGATCTGAGCAAAGAGGCAATGAGTAACACAGGCCCCGCACGGTCCCTGAGGGGGTGGCCATGGCTGAGCACCTGTGAGAGACACACACGTGAGGGCCACACAGGAGTCTGAAGACAGGCTCTGGCAAACGGGGGCTCAGTGAAGGCAGACAGACTCACTCAGGGGATAGGTTGCTTCCTATTTCCATCCTCGATGTAGACAGTGGAGGGGAAATGTGGTGGACTGCCCCTCAGCCTCTCGCCATCCCTGCTAGCAGAGAGCATCAATACAAAAGCACTGGATAAAAAACATAACCCTTTTATTCTAACCTTTCATTCTAATTCTTCTTGAAAGAGCAGCTGATTTCACTCACTTCAATGTGCTTCATTCGTTTATTAAAAATACCTAGGTCAGAACTATAGTCCTGACTAAAGGAAAAAAAAATTTACATCTCCTACTTGGCCGGAATCCTCTACATTCCCTTTTTAGGTGCTAGGGTCAGCTTACTGGGGCAAAAGCTGGGGAGGGAAGCATTCCTCATTTTCCAAGCCGGCATGAAGGAGGCAGGCTGGCAGCAGGCCAGGCAAGAGCCAGCACATCACGGGACTCTGATCGTGGTCAGGCTGTTTAAAAAGGTCAGCAAGCCTGATTGTGGACTCAGAGGGAAACTGGACCTACCCCACGGATTTGTGACTATTTGTGAAAACCCTAACCTGGGACTTCTGGTCTCACAATGGAAGAGAATTTCAGGAGACTTATGTGCATCTGTCATATATAACCTCCTAAATAAATCTGGGGGAAATGCTGAAGCTCCAGCTTTGGTGGATTCCAGCCCCCCTCCCTGCCAGCCCCTCCATCCAGCCAGTTGCTGCAAGGGCCTGGGGACAGACCGGTGGAGAAAGTTACGTGATGGCACTGTTAGCAACTGTGGAGTTTACATTCTGTGAACCTGTGAATACACACCAGGAATGAGCCAAGAGGGCCATGGCACTTACCAGGTTCTGAGAAAGAGGATCTGTGTATGGATGCACAGTCTTTATGTAATAGCCCCTAAGAGTCACAAGCTCACAAAAATATTCAGTCCAAGACTGAAAGGTTATTACAGAGAGTACTTACTCTCCGTGTAAGGTGTGAACTCTGGGGAGTTTGTAAATGGAGGCTCCCCAGAGTAATCGGTGGCATCAGCTGGGTAGGACAAGACCCGCGCCTCGTAGGTCTGATTCACGTCATTCACAATCTCATCGGTGAGGTCACACTCTGTGTCTGTGGTGTAGAAGCATTTGCTCTTCCAATTTCCAAGTCTAGGGCTAAAGGAAGGAAGAGGAAGGAAGAGGGATGAAACATTAGGATCTGCATTGGCGGCAGCGTGCTTTCTAGCCGGGGTACTGTGTTACACCAACAGCACCCACACGTGGTGGGAGCAGTCAGCGGCTCAGCATAGCAAAGTCCTCGCGGCAACCTGGGGTTGGCTCTGTAATGACTCACTTCTCACAGATAAGGCTACAGAGGCGAGGTGAGAAGGGTGACCAGCTCGAAGTCCCACAGCAGTTTGCCTGCTGGGTCTGTGCTCTTAACCATCTGTTAAATCTTTTTTTTTTAAGATTTCCTTTATTTGAGAGAGAGAGAATGAGGTGGGGAGGGAAGGGGAGGGGGAGAAGCAGAGGGAGAAGCAGACTCCCCACCGAGCAGGGAGCCCAACTGGGGACCCCAAGACCGCGACCTAAGCCGAAGGCAGATGCTTGACTGACTGAGCCACCCAGTCTTTCCTAAAATGTAGACAATTTGTTATGGTCACATGGGAGAGAGAACAGTTTCCCATCAAGACCCAATTATTTGTTATAGTCTACTTATTGTATCATTCTATAACACACTTACTTAAGATTTTATTTCTTTTAGGGGCACCTGGGTGGCTCAGTCGTTAAGCGTCTGCCTTTGGCTCAGGTCATGATCCCAGGGTCCTAGGATCGAGCCCTGCATGGGACTCTCTGCTCGGCGGGAAGCCTGCTTCTCCCTCTCCCACTCCCCCTGCTTGTGTTCCCTCTCTTGCTTTCTCTCTCTGTCAAATAAATAAAGAAAAATCTTTTTTAAAAAAAAGGGATTTTATTTCTTTTAGAGGGAGAGAGCATGAGTAGGGGGAGGGGCAAAGGGAGAGGGAGCGAATCCCAAGTAGACTCCACATGGAGCATAGAGCTTGATGCGGGGCTCGATCTCATGACCCTGAGATCATGATGTGTGCTGAAATCAAGAGTCAGACACTCCACTAACTGAGCCACCCAGGAGTCCCTATGACATACTTATTTTATCACATTCTATATTCTATGTGGAATATAGCCAATGTAGCAATAATAGAATCTATATAACCATATATTCTATATATTACATTTGATTGTGACCATTACTGTTGTGGTTATTTATCCCTGAATCTACCATACGCCAGGTACTGTACGGGGCCCTTTACACAGGTTACTTCATTTGATATAATCCTTCTGAGAAGGTATTGGATCTTTTTTACATATAAGGACACAAGCTCAGAGCCACTAAGTACCTTGTACAAGGTCACATAGCCAATGAGGTGAGAGCTGAGTCTGTCCGTCCCATTATATGACATGCCTCCCTCACTTCTACAGGATGTGAATACAGCCCACCAAAGACTATCACATTACAATACAGGTAGGACCTATCTGGCAGTCTGAGAGACCAAGAGGCTGAGACAGATCTTTCTTTTGCAAGACATCACTGAAGAGGAAATAATTTAAGGAACTGCTAAACCTGAAATTCTTCTAAAGGACTAAAACATTTGTAGATGAATGTCCCTGCCACTGGATCCACACACTTCTGTCCCACATAAATTGATAGCCACACTGCTCTTTCCTTCAGCATCACAGGCCGCCACAGGGCCTTGCCCATCATTCAAGACCATGCTCCAATCCCGCTTTTTCCAGGAACCTCCAGATCTGCTTTCTCAGAATTGGCCCCTTCCTTCTCTGTACCCCAGCATCGACATCTCCACCAAAACACTTCCTGCGAACTTGGTACCAGGGTCCATGCCCTTGTGGCCCAACCATCCTTAAGGAGCAGGGCTAAACGGAGGACTCAAGTAGCCAGGCCTTGCGGAGTGTTAGGTTGTTTGCACTTGTGGGTTGAATCAGGGGGAAAACAAGCCGCCATATGAATTCAACTGTCTCAGTTCATGATTAAGAGCCATAAGTACATATTTTTCTAAAAAATCTGAACTGAACATCCGGGCTAAGAGGGTATGGGCAAACATACGCTTTGTCCTAAAATTCATAAACTGAGATTGATACAGAAATATTTTAGTTTCTTAAATTTCTCTAATTTTCTGTGATAAAGGTAGTCAGTCTTAATTCCAGAATGACAAAAATGCATTTTTTTAATAATTGTATCACTTCTATTCTAAAAAGTGAGTGAGAAATGACAATTCTTCTCCATTGCTATGGCACACACATTGTTCAGATTAACAGGAGAAAGCCGGTATTCGATTCCTCCCAGCTCACACAAAGAAATCACAGTACTCTCTGGCGAAATTTAGCAGAAGCGCCTAGATCCCCGAAAGTAGTAAAGTCTAGTGAAAAGGTAATGAAGGGGTTCTGTACTAAGTTCCTCTAAATGCTATTGTCAGCAGTAACACTTTAAAAGGCTTCAAGCTTCCTCTAGGTATTGCAAAACCTCCTGGTTTGGAAATAATAAATATCCCGCTTGAATTACTAAGAAATTCCAACAGAAGCCAGATTCACTAATTTAGAAGCAGGCTGTTTTCTAGAAGCTTTGGAAGTTTAGTGTTAGAATTCGGAATATTTCCATAGAATCAGTATTACAGGTGTTGGCTGGGCACTAAGGCTTGAGCCAATAGCATTTCCCAACAACCACTGAAAACTTCCCACGGCAGGCAAATGCAGTTGGAGCTCCAAGTAGGGGCTCCAGGCACAGCAGTGGTACCCTGGGAGTGGGGAGAGGCTGGCAGCGAGGGTGAGTGGGTGAAGAAGAGCAGCAGGTTAAAATGCTTTCTCTAGGGATGGAAAGCCAGCAAGGAAGAAGGCCCACAGAAGGGATGGCCTTCCTTCCTCCTCCCAACAAGCTTTGGGGCCTCATATCAGACTAGGGCAGACCCACCTAAGCAGGTGGTGGTATGAGGTACTGGGGAGACCCTGGTTCCAGACCTGGCTGGGCACTCACTATCAGGGCAGTCACGAACGAATAAATCCCTTACCTTCCCTGGGCAAGTTTCCTCTTCTCTAATAGGACTGCCATGGTCCTTGTCACCCAGGAATCGTATTTACCCATGGGGAGACTGAGGAAGAGTGCGGGGGTGGAGGGCTGCCCACACGTCCTCTAGCGCAGGGGCAAGAGTGTGGGGAGGTCATTCTCTTGGCAGGAACCCCTCATCCCCAGCTGCAGGCACCCACAAGCCGCAGCTCTGCTAGGATGTGTTACTGAAATAGAAGCAGCCTTGGAAAGTCTGAGAACTTAGAGCTCACCAAGGCTTATGTTTAAAAATCAGGCTGGTCGTAAACGTTTCCGCATATTCACCAAACAGAAGATCGAATATATTTAGGAGTAAGCATTCCTCCTGAAATCCTATTTTCATTATCCAGAGTGAAGATGGTTTACTAAGGTAAACTTCAGTTCTGTATCAGAGGAATTAATTACTAATTCTCAATTAGTGGAAGCTGAATGGACAAGTTGGATCATAACCAAAATTATTACCTGGGGTTCTGAAACTCCTGTCGCTCTCTCTCTATAACTATATGCACAGCATGTACACACACTAGTTCTCTTCCCTGTTTACCAAGAGTCGTCGTGAAGTTCATTTTGAAAAACAAGAACACCCACCTCACAGGCCCACTCCGTCCTTAGGAGCTGTGTTCCTAATACCATATAAAAGGCTTGACACAAGCTAAAACAAATGAGCAAAACACCTTGAATTTTTAGCCAGTGATTCTATTGTGCCTTTATTCAATTAGCTCTCCTCTGTTTAATAAGATCTCTAGCAAGCCTCCTAGAACATTTCAGAAACCAAAAACTCACCAAGAATATGGTGAAAACCATCTAGGAAGATAGGCGGCAGGCGTCCGACCCTCAGATTGAAAATGCCAACCTACCAGCCCTTGCAGGGAGCTGTCGGTCAGAGAGGAGGGTGCCTGAGCAGCTCAGCCCTCAACCCGGTGTACAGACAGAGGAGTATTCCTTCCGGGCTTTAGTGAGTCACAAATTTGACCTCCTCCGAGATCATGCACGCAACCGAATTTTGAATCAGTGTCCAAAGACGAGTGAATCAAACACTGCTCTAGGGCAATGTATACATTTGGACTCCTCCCCGCTTCCCCTACAACATGTTAGATCCGGCTCCCAGTCTAGACAGCGAGGAAAAAGACGTGCGTGCTTAGATGAGATTAGCCTCCATCCAGGACATCTTCCCATGCTGCCATAGCCGGCTCAAGAAGGTTTGCCTACCCCCAGCTTAGACTCCACTTAGGAATTTTCCCATCTGTGTCCAAAAACAAGTGAAACATTCTATCATTTGAAGCTGTGGCCATGTTGCAGGCTTCATGGAGTAAGGCTCTGGCCTGCAAATGACCAGGAATGCCCTTTGTCATCTGTTAAATACTCTCATCCATTCGCCAGCTTTAAAGACATTTGTATTCAGCACAGGGAAATGGAAACATTAAAAACTTTAATTTTCTTTTTCTTTTTTGTTTGTACCTAGCTTACCTTATCTGAACAGTGTAGACATGATTGATGGGTTTGGGTTCCCACTCCAAAATTGTCTTGAAATTAGTTGATTTCCAAGTTAAGTTATATGCTACTACTACCTCTGTAGTCCCTTTAAACAACAGAGAAACAGCTATTATTACATGGGCTCAGCACACGATTTCACCTTGATGGTATAAAACATCTTCCCATCCCCCCAACATCACCATTAACCTCGTATTAATTTTTTTCCAACCACAAAAGCTTCATTGCTGAATCATCAAGACAAAAAAAATTTTCAAGTTTTTAATTTTCTTTATTAAGGTCTCTGAATTTCCTCATGGCAAGACCGACCTTGTAATCTAAGAAAAGAGGCAAGGATCTCAAAATCCTTGTTTGAAATTATTCACGGTGGGGGAGGGGGATGGTGGGAAGCCCTGAGATAACTTGACCTGGAAACACAGCTCAGGAGCCTTCAGCCTCCTGCGATGTCTAAGGCCCAGGCCAGGAAGTGTAGGACTCAGAGGTTCAACTCACCAGGGAAGGCCAGGTAGGAAGGGTTTGGGGTAAGTTATGGAAAGGGGCAGATCCCACGCGTATGAGAGGTTAGGGTTGCACACCATAAGAAAGCCAAATCTTGACTTTTCCAATTTTTGTCTAACATGTCTCTATATAGAAACCTCCGGACGGCTAGGCAGAGGTGTGGCCTGTCACACCGTCGGATGTGTTCCGTTAGGATGCGTTATTATTAAGATCCGCTTTGCAATATTCAGCGGGTCACAGTCCCTGCCTGCCCCACACACGTTATAAGCATATGGGGCATGCACAATGTGTCTGCTCCAATCCAAGCGACTTTTTGCAACAGGATTGCCTCTAAATCTAAAACAAAGACGTCCAAGAAAACACCACAAGGGCCTCTCTTTATCAAGGGCAGTGGACGTGCAATGAAGGATAATATCCAAACACGGCACGCTAACCAGGACAGGTGCGGATCCGTGTCCACCACCTTCAAGGTTGTGGATTACTGGGAAACACTTGCCCTAAACTCAAAGCGGGAGCCACAAATCCCTGTATGCCATACCGACGGACTCCGGACTAAGCTTCTCCAGCAGAAGGGGCCGCGGACTACTACCCTCCATCCCCCGCCTGCGCGCCTCGGGAGCCGGGTTGGTTCGGACTCCGCTGCGTGAGAGCGGCCGCGTCAGGCCCGTGCGGGGGCACCTCCCGGCAGCAGGGCGAGCCCCCTTCTCCCGACCGCGTGCCGCTGGGTTTCGGGGGCGGGTGCCACTCACCTGAGGCTCCGGCCACCTGCAGGAGGACCCAGCCGAGCAGGAGCATCCGAGCGACGGCGGCCTCGGGGCAGGGCACCCGGGGCCAGGTGGGGGTCTCCATGTCCACGAGCTGGCGACGAGGTCGGGAGGATTCCGTTGCGCCCCGAAGAGTAGGGAGGTTGCGCTGGAAGCGCCGATGGGCAGCGTGCGAGAGCGGGAAGGCGTGCGGGGAACCCCGAGTCTGGGGCAGTCCGCCCCGGGGCGCGCTTTAAAGAGCGGTGTGGCCGCCCGCGCCTCCGCCGGCCCACGGCCCGCCCCCGCCGCTCCTCCCCACTCCCGCCCCCGGCCCGGTCACTGGCAGTCGCGGTGGGAGGCCCCCGGCCAGTTCCCTCCCCTGTCCCGCCTCCTCCGGGGAGGAAACTCCGAGGGGTGATTCACCGTGATTCAACCGCGCCGCCGAGCGCGACGCTTCCCTTCGGCCCCGGCGGCTCCAGGTGCGGCGGGGAACCGGGTACCCCGGCCCCCCGGCCCCCTGACCCCCTGACCCCCGGGCCACCCAGGCCGGCGACTCCGACGTCCGGCCTGAGTGGGCAGGTCTGTGGGGAAGAAAGCGGGGACGCTTTGGAAGGAGTTCTCGAGGTGGAGGCAAGGATTCTCCCGTACCGTTTGGTTACGGTGCTGTCCCAGCCGGGAACGGCAGCACTTACAAGTTGAACGGCCCGGAGCGGTTCCGGGCTCGCTGGGGCCGCCGAGAGCATTGCTCCAGTGCTCCGGGCACGGGGGGTGGGGGTGCGGGTGGGGGTGGGGGGCCCGAGCCTCGGAATCCGCGGCCAAGTAGCGGCCGACGGTGAGCAGGGCTCACCCGCGGTTCGGCCGCGAAGGCGAAGTGGTACCTGGCCTTCCCACCTGACCGGGCCTTTAGCGAGGGTTGCATCCTGTAAAGGTGGTGCAAATGCAGGTGTCTGCCCACAGGGCCGGAGGTCAGTTAGCCCAGGCTCAGCCCAGCCCAGCTCGGGGTAGTGACTGAGGAAGAGCTCCCCCAGTCGGGCGGTTTGCCCTTGGAAGAATTCCAGCATGACATCTGCAGCCCTGTGGTGCCAGAAAGGATTGTTCTCACGCTGAAGAAGACATTCGTGGAACTGAGTTAGTTCCGTCCAAGTGTAGAGAAACCAAAAATGAAATTAAAAAATATCATCAGACTTTATTTATTTATTTATTTAGTGCCGGTCTTAAGCATTGGGCTTTTTGAATCTATTTCTGGCTTCCTCTTCTGGGCTTTCCTGTAAAATTGTCAGGTAAGAGAATGTTAATTCTTATTCTAAGTGGCATTGTACAAGGTCTTGTCAAAGTACCTGCCATCATTCCGTTTTTATGCCTCTGTAGTTGCCTCCAAGACAGACTGGACGGGTTTTAGGGAGAGAGCAGAGTCTCCTACTTTTTTTCTAGGGAAGTCAGCCTTGCCTTTTAGTACATACTGCATACACATTTCCATATAACATTATGGAATAAGCCATAGCAATACACTCATTTTGAAGGAAATAAAACCCTGCAAATTTTTTTTTCTCCCTGCGTGTGAACTGAAATAGCACATCCAGGTTTAGCTCTTGTCCATCTTCACTGGAAGCTGAAATCTGCACTTGCTGGTTTCCTCTTTGAGCTCTCTTCCAGCTCTAAAACGCACAGGATTTATATTTGCAAAATGAGACCATGCAAGCCTCCTTTTTGTAGTCTCCGAGCCTGAGTCATTTTCCCTAACAGATCTTTAGCCAGCCTGGGATGTGATTCTTTGCACTGGAGTTGAAGGTACCTAGAAGAAAATGTTACACTTGCTTTCCAAGGTCCAGGGAATTGTTGCTTTGTCTACAGAGTAATTGGTTCCATTTGGAGCCACTGACTGTCCTGAAATCATAAAGGGCTTTAAGTGATGTCAGGATCAGCAATTTGGCAAGAAAAACATGTTTAACGTTAGATGGTGACACAAAAAGTGCTGTGAAGCTTGATAAATTAGATAAATACTTATTTTGCATATTCACTAAAATGATCAGTTAGGGAAGAGAGGAATTGGTTGGGTTGCTATGGAGGCTTTTGAGTAAATATAGAATTACATTCTTTAGGGGCGCCTGGGGGGCTCAGTCGGTTAAGTGTCTGCCTTTGGCTCGGGTCGTGATCCCAGGGTACTGGGATTGAGTCCCACATCGGGCTCCCTGCTCAGTGGGGAGGCTGCTTCTCCCTCTCCCTCTGCCTGCCGCTCCCCCTGCTTGTGCTCTCTCTCTCTGTCAAATAAATAAATAAATCTTAAAAAAAATAATTACATTCTTCAGAGTTTGAAAAATGCTAAAAAATTATTACCACTTTCAAGAAAAAGAGGAAGCAGACTGGCCATAGTAAATGATATCTCTGTGATATCACTGACGATCAGACTGTGGCCAGACGATTTCTAGATCACTGGTGCTTAGCACTGTTAAGAGTACATTCCTAAAGTTTTACTGTTGATATTTATTGCACAGAAACAAATTGATTGTTAAAATTATTCCCTACTCTTACGTTTGTTTTTTTTAACTTCCTCCAGTGAACTTGAGCTTAGCTTCCTCCTACATGATGTATCTTGAAAATTCTGAGAAGCGTGAAACATTCCTAAACTATAATGACAATCAGGCTGGCCTGACCGGTCCCTTTATGATTAGATCTTAGAGTATCAGAGGGCTGGAGGGGACCTCACAGACATCCTTCTAGGGATGAGGAGCCCACGGCCAGCCTCACAATGCAGATCTGGTCTTCTGACCTCAGAGACTTTCTTTCCACAACTATGCTTCCTTCTACTCCCAATACATGGATGTAAGATTGGGTCATACACCCAGGCTTACTTGATTCATATACTCATCGATAAGCACTCAACAATGCTCTGCAGTAGGTGTAGAACATGCTTGCAGTTTGCGGAACGCACCGTTCTCCAGCAGTAATATCCCGATGGTTATTCCTGGGTTATTCCTTGATGCGAGCGTGCACCGATCCATGTAGGAGAGGTCACAGTGCTTTTGCATAAACAGTGTTGCACTGTGGTTGATGAGGAGCCTGGAAATGACTGGGCAGCGTTGCAGCCCTTCCTCTGTACCCCCCACTAACTGCACTGACTTGGTTTCATCCAGTTCTTCACTTGATTTCAACTGTGTGTTTGTCATCTTTCTTCCCCCTAGAGCTCACTGGGGCAATAAGGACTGGATTTTTTTCTTTACATCTCTCAAGTCTTTGCACAATTACCAGCACATAGTAGGCTTTTAATACATTTGAATCAATGAACACTTTTTTGGAAACTGTGCATGCAGCCAACTATTTTCATTGGTATTCAAAAGGCAAAATTTGTCATTGAAATTTTTCTGTCTAGTGCTGGGCAGTGAGTGTTCCATAATGCTCAGATTGGTAAGAAAATGCAAATCCATCGTGGGTCGCATGGTATTACTTGACAGCAAGCTCCATCTGTCTAAGTAGTCATTAATGATTCTTGCTACAGCCAGAAGATGTAAGCAGGAGGAGAGGTAGCTGAACAGCAGGAAACAAATGTGGAAGTTTGGGAACTGGTTAGCATTTTTCTAACAGCCTGGATTCCAGGGTGATTCAGAAGATCTTCAGTAGTATGAGGAGGCTGTTCTTGCATGGAAAGGCTTCCTGACTTTTTAGAATAAATTGTACAAAATGTATATCTCCCCGGGAAGGGGATAGGTTAAGCTTTAGGATAGGTGAACATGAGAGTAATTTACATAAAACTATTATATTCATGTAAAAATGGTAAAAAGAGCAGTGAATCCATTTTACCCCAAATTCAGGTAAAAAGCAAACTATGAAAAAAGGCCAGAGGGACTTAGGGGTGGGAACATAGAGTTCTGGAAAAAGAAAATATGACTTAGCAGAACTTAAAAAACATCTGGCAGGGTATAATTAGTCATGGAAAAATTGGCAGTCATGAGTGTGCATTTTGTGAAAATAATCATGTACTAGTCCAACAGTTAACATTTAGACTGAAATTAAATAGTGGAAAGGCTGTACAATGAAATCTATTATCCTCGTCATTCAAAAATTCTATTAGCTGTCTAAAAGCTTTACTAAAAAAGTTATCACAAAGCACGTATTTTAAAAAAGCAAAATTTAAAAAAAAAAAACTTCCAGTTCAAACCTTAGACAGAATTACTATTTTCAGCACAAAACTATAAACCTAAGGCTTATCAAACAGTCTGTCAACTTCCATTTTGATGGACAGTAAATATTATTCTGTACATACAATGTTAACAAAATGTGTAAATCATAAATGTAAGTTGTGGATATTGTTTTAGTAACAAAAAAGTCATTTAAAATGCAAACTTTTAATGTATGGCCTCATGAATATAACACATATAATTTTAAAGTTTTAATATGGTATCATTTTATGTAAGCATCCCTTAATTCCCAATTTCTATAGCTCCTTATACTTGACATATGCACTAACTTGATGAACAGAAACCCATTCATTCAGGAAATAGTTGAATTATTGCCCTGATGCTGAGTTCTCTCTAGACTTTGGGTATACAGAATAAGATAAGGAGTCCCTTTCCTATTAAATATATCAGCACTCCTACTTACTCTCCTGATTTTAATTGTTTGAATGATTTCCTGTCAGCATTTTGGATTGGATATGAAAGAAAGTTTTTTTATTAATAAATTTTGTTCCATGCCACAAAAAAAAAAAAAAAATACAAGTTTGGGCATGTCATGGTCAGTTCATCAAACAGGTATCTTCAACTTAGAGAGACAGAGAGAGAGCACAAGCAGGGGGAGCAGTGGGCAGAGGGAGAAGCAGGCTCCCCGCCGAGCAGGGAGCCGGATGCGGGGCTCGATCCCAGGACCCTGGGATCATGACCTGAGCCGAAGGCAGACGCTTAACTGACTGAGCCACCCAGGCACGTCCCCTGGCCCTTGATTTTAAGAATTGTATTTGTCTTACAACTCCTTTATGGATTTGTCAACCAAGATCTTGCCTTCTACAGGCTAATAAATACTTACTGAGGGGTTACCATGTGCAGGGCAACATACCTGGAACTGTCTTATGCGTCCTTTTGCTAAAATACCTTGCAAGCTAGTCAGAGAGCTGAGGCAAATGTGTAAGCGTCCAGGAGAAGGTGGGGTAAGTGAAGTGGGACATGTTGCCATGTCTCTCACTAGTAGATGGAGCGTGCTGTGCCAGCAGATGCTGCTTTATCTT